TTTGCTCTCTCTCTCTCCTTTAATGAAGTTACAATGTCCGTGTCAGAGACACACTCAGTTGTACCACCAAATCTTTCTTTCCCGTCTTTATTTCAAACGTGGGCTCATCATGGCCGTTCCATGGGGACCAGAGCCTGCGGGTTTGGCGCGCTGGATTCAAACATCCGCGTTTTTTTATTTACGCGGACGCGCACGCACGCGGCTAAACCATCGTCGTGTGTAGTGAGTTTTAACGTCTCGGCCCGGTCAGTAACTGGCGTCAATCGATACCAGAATTTTTTGCTATGGTTTTGCGCCGAACTAGGACCAATTTCTAAGGGAGAGGCTCTTCCTTGCCCTTTAGACATCGGCAGTTCCCCAGCACTGCTTGAAGCAAGCCTGACTCTGCTGTCGAGACACTGAATGTGCTGCTGGAGAGGTTCACTCCACAGAAGGCCGTGGGGCTGATGAGATGTGTAAAAACAAACATTTTATATTTTGTACGCGGCGATACTGACAGATGAAGAAGGCGGGACTTCTAAACGAGACCAAAACCTCCGCTTTGACTAGGGGTCGGGGAACCTTTTTGACTGGGAGAGCCATAAAAGCCAAATATTTCTAAATATATTTGATTGAGAGCCATATAGTATTTTTAACGTATAATAAATTAAATGTCTTACTTTTAATGCAACTTCTGGTGCCGCATGGTTTTGCTGATGGCCTTGTAGTCTGGTTCATACGTGGTGAGGTTGAGCTTCGTGCAGGCGTGACCCGTGAAATTTATCTTCAAAACTAATTTCTGTTTACTTTTAAATGACACAGTATTATTAAGCAATATCACAAGTATTTTAAAATCAGTTCCAAACTGATTTTTTTATTTTTTTTTTTTCAACTCAAAATTGCCTGGGAGCCATATGCCATCACCGGAAGAGCCATATATGGCTCGCGAGCCATAAGTTCCCGACCGCTGGCTTAGACGTTTGCTCCGGGGAACACTTCCCAAGTCTGTCCGGGGGAAGAGTTCCTGCACGTGCCAAACCAAGTTGGAAGGAGCGCACTAGAAAGACGATAGGCTCACCACCTCCACGGGACCACCGCTGGCATCCAACCCATGGAGGCGAGATGTTAACTTACCCCGCCTGGTATACAGGAGGTAGTGGATTCGATTCCCGACCCTGACGCCTGTATAATTGGAGTTTGCATCTCTCTCTCTCCTGTGGTCACGTGTATTTTTGCATGTTCTGCCCGTGGTCACGGGAAGAACATGCAAATAGGTTTTTCCCTCCACATTCTGAATAGTGCGTTTAAATAAATTGGCTGCAATACATTCCACGTGATAAGCACGTGATAAGCTGAAAAAGAGCTACATAGCTTAGTGGGCCTTACCTGGAAATATTTAAAAAATTGTTAAATAGTTTAGTAATTTAGTTCACCCCCGACCGTCAAATAAAGCCCATTCAATCCGCGCGTCTCTTCCGGCTCGCTTGCACCCCCCACCTCTGGCTCCGCCAACACGGGCCGCATGGGGACACGGAAGAGATTACGATCGCGCCGTTGTGATACCCCTGTTGTCAGCGCGCCGGCGATCACTAATCATAGCCCTCCTGTGTTTGCTTTGGAAAAGGAAAAAAAACGCGCCGCTTTTAAAATAGGCCTAAAGATTATGTCGTTGTGACCTATTCTTGAATCCTTGTTTTCCCCAAACCGCCGCTCGTCCGTTTCCGGACCTTTTTTTTGGTGCGTTCGTTTCCCCCGGACGCCCTCTTCCTACAGCTGCCCGGATTAATCTCGCCAAGTAGCGGCGGTAAAGGCGAAGGTGGCCAGAGAATTGGGGCGTGTGCGAGCGCTGCCGTTTGAAGTGGGTCGGCGACGCGCGGTCGTTTTTGGGAAGGGAAAAAAAAAGTTTTGAGATCATTGAGAAGCGTCTCCCGGGTTCAAAACGAAAGGGGGCGTTGGTTGCGGCGCTCATCTCTGTTTCCACAGTGGGAAATTCCACATTCCCATGGGAGGGGGGAATTCTCTCCATAGGATGCACGCTGTTGAATTTCATCCGAGTGAGCGTGCGAGCGTTCGAGGGGGCGAGAGAAAAAAAACTTGTGTGAAATATCTACGGAATATGAGAATAAGCTTTCTACCCACGGTGGACACTGCCCATGGTGGACACTCCCCACGGTGGACGCTGTTCATGGTGGACACTGCCTGTGGTGAACACTGCCTGTGGTGAACACTGGTCATGGTAGACACAGCCCATGGTAGACACTGCCCATGGTGGACAATGTCTGTGGTGGACGCTGTTCATGGTGGACACTGCCCATGGTGGACACTGCCCATGGTGGACAATGCCCATGGTGGACACTTGCCCTAGTGGACACTTATCATGGTAGACACTCCCCATGGCAGACACTGCCCATGGTGGACACTGCCCCATGGCAGACACTCGGTTGAATTTCCACCCCAGGTGGCACTGCCCACTATCCCCCCCCCTACCCAACTTGCCCCCCCACCAGCTACCCCCCCCCCCCTCACGGACTGAGAAGCGGTAGGGAGGGGGGGGCCCCCCCGCACTCACCCGACGATGCAGCAGAGGACGCACATGAGCACGCTCATTGTGCCCGAGACGTGAGAGGTCTGCGTCGTGACCAGCAGCTGGCAGTGCGGGCACACCATGCGCATGGGGTACGGCTGGGGCACCTCGCTGTGCAGCAGCGTCAGCGCCTGGCCCGCCGCCGACGGCACGACCATCGTGGGGCCCGCGGGACCGCCGGGCCCCCCTGCCGCCAAGGGCTGGCCGTACGCAGGGTAGGGGCCCACGGGCTGCGGCGGGTAGAAGGCTGGTCGGAGAACGGAGGGGGAGGCGGGCGGAGAGGGGGACGCTGTTGATTTACCATTGTTGTGGTGGTTGTTGTTGTTGTTGGTGATTGATATACATAAGATGAAAATGCATTCGCCTGCACCATCCCTTTCAGATGGAACATCTCGTTTTGGCAAGGGTGTCCAGAGTGTCAGGTGACGAGACGCCAAACACGTAATGACGCGGTGTACAAACACAACATACACACAAAGGTAAAGACCCCCCCCCCCCCCGTAGCTTGTAACAGACTGTTGGGCCAAGTGCAGTAAGCGAGCGCCTATGAAGGCCGGCACGGCACACGAGGCGGTGGGTAACCAGCACCACGCCCGGCCGTGTTTGTCTCCCGAGTGGCGATGTTTACACACCGCACCAGGTACTCATTTGAGGCCGAGTCGACCTAGGAGAGGCCCAGGACCGGTTCAGATCATCGTCACCGGTGTTAGCCGTGAGCGGGAATCGAACTCGGTCGCTGGGTTCATAGCGCAAAGCAATAACCACTACATTACCACTACGCAATCACTATAACACACACAAAGCAAACATGTAATGACACTTACGCAAACTAATTAATAATGTAACATGTACTGTACAGAACACACTGATACAATGAACATCAGCATGTAGTCAAACACAAAGACAAAGATCCCTCATTTTGCCTGAACATACTTTTGGGGCAACTGCTGTTAGCGAGCACCTATGAAGGTCAGCACGGCACACGAGGGAGTGGGTGGCCAGAACCACGCCCGGCCGCCTTTGTCTCCCCAGTGGTGATGTTTGCACACCGCACAAGGTACTCACTTGAGGCCAAGTTGACCTAGGGGAGGCCAAAGGGCGATTCAAATAATCGTTATTGGTGTTGGCCATGAGCAGAAAATTGAACCAGCGCACCGTTCTCCATTTTTTTTTAACCAATTAAAGCCAACGGAGCTCAAATATGACGTCACAAAGCTCTGCCCCCCCCCCCAAATAAAACATGCTTCAAATTGCTTTAAACTATTGTCATTGTAGTGCGTATTTAATGTGCTGCTGCACTCTGATGTTGGAGGAGAAAACATTTATTAAAAGTCTATTTAATTAAGTAGAACGTGTTGTCTATATTTATTTAAAGTTGCGCATGTTGATGTGACGTCACATTTCTCACCCCCCCCCCCCTCGTCACACACCGTCACAAATGTCTGACCCCCCCCCCCCCCAGGTGCATGACGTCATTTATGGACGGCCCCATCGCTCTTTTTTATCAGAAGCGACCTGGCCACAAATTTTTGCTCAACGTAGTGGCTTATCCATGTGGAAAATTACAACAGCCGATTACTCTAAGCGCATGTTCCAAAATGTGGACGTAAAAAACCGGAGGAACCGGAGAAAAATCCACGCGACCACGGGGAGAGAGACACGCAAACTCCACATATACAGCAGGCGTCAGGGTCGGGACCGAATCCACGACCTTCTGCCTACCTGGCGAGGCAGTTAACATCTCGCCACTGCAGCACACACATATAGCAAACACAGTAATGACATACTCTTTGGTTCACTCGGTAAAGTCACGTAGGTAGAAAAATATAATAAAATAAAGTACGTAGAAAAATAAAATTAAATAATGTTATTTTATTAATCTACCTACATGACTTACCAAAAGAACCAAAGAGTATGGATTCCTGCAGTCACGAAAGCTTCAAATCAAGACAGTAATGACAGTTACGCAAAAATCAATGTAAAATATACCGTAAACATTGACCATAACACTGCAGTCAAACTCACACGCACACATATCTAATTAAATGGTGCCTGCTGCCGTATATCAATTCTAATCGGGGATACGCAGACCCTTGGGGGTACGTGGCAACGTCCCAGGGGGTACATGAGGGGATCTATAAATGTGTGAAGTGATATCATACATGAGAGTCACTGGTGAATAATCACGCATGCATAATAACTACGAGAATATTTTATCCATATGGTAACTGAGAACGATATCAAATACCTTTCTAAACTCATTGATCGTAAACGAGCACGAACAAACTACGCCACGTATGCAAAGCGTCCCGTTGAATTGATGTTATTTGCTTGCAGTATACTAGCGAATTAGAATGCCTCACAAAATTGACAATTGGTTAAACTATCGATGGTCATTATTCACGCATTTATTTCTCAGAACCGTGTTGGGTAAGGCAAGGTGGTACTCGGTTGAAAAAAAATTCAACAAGGAGGGTACAGTAGCCAACAAAGGTTGCCTTATTGAGTCGGCTTTGTTCGTAGAGGCACCAGGGGATGTGCACCCGTGTCCGATTGTTGTACTCCTATACTTTATTTACATTCACTTATTTACGTATCATCCACTTGCTTACGACGTTTCCCCTATCGTGCGCTCACAACGGCCGTTGTATTCGTTTGTTTGGTGCAACTTGACGACCTGCCCGCCCGCCCGCCCCTGATTGGACGTCTGTGAAAAAGCGCTTCGTAGCTCATCAGATTCCTCCGCCTCCAGCCTCAATAAGGATTCTGATGATTTTAGTCAAGGTTCTGATGCCAAGGCCTGGGGTTGAGCGCTTGCACGGTCGTTGAGCCACGCCGCGCACAAACGGAGCGTCACGATTCGACGAAATCGCATCGGCGGACTGCCTCCGGTTTTACGACGGTGGTCCGATTTTCACAAACGATCTGCACTTCCGCGACGCCTACACAACACGCCACCAACGGGTCGATCTTAACGGCGCCCAAACTCGACGTGCGACGCGTCTCCCGACACGAACGGCGCGTGAGCGGGAGCGGGGGGGGGGGGTCTGCCTTCCGACGTGACTTGGCGCGTGGCGGTTTCGTTATTCTCGAGCGCTTTGCTTTGGTGGATGTTTTCCCGTTGAGCCCTGTTACGTACGGCCGATGAAAGGAAAAACACATCGGCAAGCGTTGTTTCTCCCCTCTCCACCGTCTACGGGGAAAATAGGGGTACCGCTTTCCAACGACGGGGGGGGGGATTTTCGGGATCGCATTGTATCATAAAAACGGGGGGCCACCACCTGTATACAATTCCAATTGCATTGTACGATTACAATACTATTATACATGATCACAATTACAATATACAATTACATGATACAATTACAACATACAATTACAACCGCATTATGCGATTTCAATCGCATTCTACGATTACAATTACAATAGCTACACAACACGCACAGGATTACACAGAGAATAACAGCGTTCGCCATGAAGTAAGGCACCTCCACGCCCTGAACGAACGCGCGACGCGCGGCTCTCATCACCAACGGCGGTGCCCATTCCACATTCCCGTGGCCCGGAAGGCGTACCTGGTCCATACTCGCCGGGGGACGTTGGGTACCCCTGCTGGGGGGGGCCCATGGTGGGTGGGGTGGCAGAGTACGGGGGGAGGGCTGGGAACCAGCTGGGCTGAGTCTGCACGGGGAACTGTCCATCTGCAGCGACACACGTGAACACGCACACACACGCATGTAAAGACAAAGATCGCCCCGCATAGCCTGTAACAGACTGTTAGGGCGAGTGCCGTTCGCAAGCAGCACCTATGAAGGCCGGCATGGCACACGAGAGGATGGGTGACCAACACCGCGCCCCGGCCGCCTTTGTCTCCCCGGTGCCGATGTTTACACGCTGGTACAAATTTTTAAGGCTTAATCGAGCTAGGGGAGGCCCAAGACCGGTTCAGATATTCGCCGGCGAAGTTGGCCGTCAGCGGCAGATCGAGTTTCCTCGGGCAGTGTGCCGATCGCTGCGCAACCCCTCGAGCCACGCTCGCGCTCGTGCGCGCGCCCACTTCCCCACGCACGCACGCACGGACACGCGCCCACTTCCCCACGCACGCACGGACACGCACCCAGATCCACGTCCTCTTCACTATCGCGCGTCGCGCACGCTTTTAATTGGTCACGGCCCGTGTTCGCGCGCCTGACCACAACTAGACCGCAGATCCCAGCCCCTTGCACATCCCCGCGCCCCCTCTGCCACGACCACGCCTGGACGCTACGAACGGGCGCCCCGCTGTCACCAGCGACCCGCGACAGCAGTAATAACAGCGGCCATTATCTGCTCTGCACATCGCGCAGCTGAGACCAGAACATATCCCCGCTTTTAGATCATCTACTTCCCCAATATCTTTGTAAACATTTGCTAAATAATGATACTTATCATGGTTACTGCGTTTGATGCGGACTGTGCCATTCATGGAGGCCCTGCTCGGGGCAATAACGGCTTATCGACGACAACTATTTGTTGGTAAACAATTGCACGATCATAATACCGAATAGCACGGTTGGCTTTGTACGGTGCGAAAGAAGTTCAACAAACATATCCATCATCATCCACCATCATCATAAGCAGCCATGGTCAATCTACTGCTGGATCCAGGCCTCCCTCCCAAGACGCCATTGCCGCCACCACCCCTCACAAAACCGTGCGATGTAACAATGCTGAAAATCCCTCGTACGAGGTTACATCGACGATAGCTTGGGGCACCAACCGGTTTCATCGCTCCATCTCCCCGTTGGACATCCTCTATGATGCGGTAAAATGCTTGCATAATTATAATAAAAATTCTTATAATTAGTATATTAATGTCAACTTGCTCATTCAGAAAAGCTTCATCGAGAAGATGCTTTTTTATTTATTCAGGTGGGCATTGATTGGTATGTTTAGCCGATTTCTTTTCATTGAACGAGCATCTTGTGATTCGTGATTAGTTGACTCCCAGCGAGCGCGCAGCTGTTGCCAACGCCCAGTGAGGCTGAACGCGACCTCCACCGAAATGTTCGACGAAATCAACAAACCAAATCAGGTGGCACGTGAAGTGCGTCAGGGTGCGTCAGAGCGCGCCAGGCGGATCGGTTGCCCTGCACGTGCTTGAGGAGTAGGCTGTTGCATTGCTGTGTGGTTACGTGGGCTGACATCCACTAACTCTCTGGTATATATCTGGTGCTCTAATTGTGTAAAAGCATTCGTTAAATAAATGATAAAAGGTGGCACATTTGCCTCCCACGTGACAGAGGTCGCAACCGGGTACCCGATACCCGTACCCTACCCGATACCCGGCTACCCGGCCGGGTACGGGTACCCGTTTGCGACCCTGGTGCGGCCGAGTACGGGTAGGCCGTGAGTCACTGGTGAGTCACCGTTTGTCACTCATTTCCCAACGTCTTGTCTCTTCTCACAATTCAAGTTCCTAGAATCAACCCACCCGCGCCTGCAACATGGCTTCATCCCAGAGGTCGCAATCAGGTACCCGATACCCGTACCCTACCCGTACCCGGCCGGGTACGAGTAGGGTACGGTGTACGGCCGGGTACGGGTACGGCCGGGTACGGGTACGGCCGGGTACGGGTACCCGTTGGCGACCCTGGTGCGGCCGGGTACGGGTAAGGAATCAAAACCCGTTTGGCGACCTCTGCCACGTGACCACCTTGTTTGATTGGCTCTGTCGGGTGTGTGGTGGTAGTTTAAAAAAAAAAGTAACCGATACTTGCACCCACGAGATCAAACGAAAGAAACAAATAATGAATCAGGCGCAGTTGCATTTTGACGAACCTTTTTGTGGTTGTTGTTATTGTCGCCGTTGTTGTCAAGAAGTGTTGATGAAGGGGGCGATACTCGTCCTTTTGCTCTCGCGTCGAAATGCGTCACCCAATAAGCGATGCGCGTTTGGGTTTAGGCCGCGACGTGCCATTCGTACGTACGTGTGTATGTTGAACTTCTTTCGCACCGTATGTAGGCAACCGCACTAAATTGGAGGTGCGGGGAAAGGGCAATGACCTAAACACAAAAAGAAATGCTAAAGAAATTAGCTTTCAATCTAGATTTAAAAGTGCATCGCTCCAGTGGCTTCCTGATATCGGAAGGCAGAGTACAGCCGACGGCCAGAGAAGTGCATCTGAAAGCGTTCGATGTGGTGACCGTCTTTGTTTGATGGTTAGCTAAAAGCTGTTGCGAGGATAACTGGAGTTAGCGTGATGATGGTTTACACTCCTTGACGAAATCAGCAAGCTCTTGTGGTTCATTTGTGGCAAGCATCTTCTTCAGCAGTGTTATATACATTAGGGTGGGTAGAATAATACATAGTGTAATATTACAATGTATAAGGTGGTTTATAGCAATACAGTATATAATTTAATGTTGGGTTTGTCTATGGCAGTATATAGTACGGTGTAGACTCGTGTGATGTAAGAGAATAAAGTTTAGATGGAAGCATATTAGATATTTTTTACGACGTAGAATTGTAATGTATTACTTACTGTAACTCAGCTTATTGTAGAGTATATTTAGTATACTGATGATACTATGCAGTTTATACTTTAGTTGTTTACGTGGTGGTTTTAGTTACTGCAGCTACATACTATTAACACTCCTTCCCTTTATTAATGCTACCCCTATCCCCTATCTTTGATGCTGCTAATCCTGCATAATGCACGGGCATAAGTAGTAATATTCACATACCTGCATTTCCCATATCCCCTCCCTTTGATGCTGCTAATCTGCATAATGCACGGGCATAAGTAGTACTAATCACATACCTGCATTTCCCATATCCCTTCCCTTTGATGCTGCTAATCCTGCATAATGCACGGTCATAAGTAGTACTAATCACATATCTGCATTTCCCATAAATATGCTAAATTCCTCTTGATATGCATATTCTTCTGTCAAGGCGCCCTTTTCCCCCCTTCCAACTCAGCTTATATATATGCTCCAAGCACGTGTGCTGTTTCATTCAGACGCTGTCGCCTCGACAGACCTGGTTTTCACCTGAGGACGGCTGCTTGCGTTGTGGCCGAAACGGCGTGAGAATTGTTTTATTATGTTTTATTTTTATTATTGTATTACTTCCCTTCTACGTGACTTTACCGAAAGAACCAAGAAGATGAATCCCTGCAGTCACGAAAGCTTAAAATCGAAATTGTGGCAAGCACTTCACGTGTAATGAGTGCGACCTTATAACGTATTCGTTCGGCAACCGGAAGCCAACGCAGCTAGGCGAGCACTGCATGGACATGGTCGGCACTTTGCAGTACCCGTCACGACACGTGCCAAAGAGTTTTTTACAAGCCGCAACTTGGTAATGTTTTTGCCAAACTTCCCGTAGAGTAGCGAGTTGTAATAATCGAGCCTTGTTGATACGACGCGCCGTGTGTGCCGGCGATCCGCTGCGCGTGCCGCGAGCTCCTTCAGGAAACCGAACCCAGCGGGTGCTCGGGTGACCGAAACTAAGCTCCTGAAGAGAATGACGCCGAGGGAGAATTCGGTTCCCGGAAAAAAAGCTCCCACGGCAGGCAGAGCGAAACGTCGTCCGCCGAATGCAAAAGATACTGGGCGGAATCGGGCGAGACCAGAAAAACACCGCCGTAGAGCCGTACAGCGCCACCTCGGCAATGGATCTAACCCAAAAAACCCCATTTATTTTGGATAATACTGTTCGCGACAGCCTACGTGTTAGACTGAATTGGAGAGCTACTTTGCCCCCAAAGTATCTCTCCAATTCTAGACCACTTCTTCAAAAAATATTTTTTTAAAGATGAATAATTAACAGCTGCATGGGTGCACTCGCCTCGGGACAGAGTCCACTGTTGATAGAGACGGGGGTGCTCGCGGATTTACTGAGGCCAATCTCCCACCATCGAGTCGCGTTCTCCTCCTCGCCTCTCCAATCATCACGGTGGTTGCTACTACAGCCGCTCTCCCACCACCTTGCTGATCTTGTCAAGAAGCAGAAACCATCATGCGAACTTGGGTCATCCTCACAGCGGCTTTTGGCTGGCCATCGAACAAAGAGGGTTACCGCATCGCGCACTTTTGTGTGCGCTTCTGCGGCCGTCTGGAAACCTCTTCCTTCGGATATTAGGAAGCCACTGGAGCGATGCACTTTTAAATCATCTCGATTGACAAACCCATTTCTTGAGAACTGCTTTTTGTGTGGAGTTTACAGTCCTTATCCCGCACCTCCGATTAGGGGAGAGCGGCGGTGCGGTGGATCCGCACATCACGCTACGAACCCGGCGACCTCAGTTCGATTCGCGGCCACTGGTCCTGGAGGTCTCGCCGAGGGCAACTCAGCCACACATGAGTGTCTGGTGGGTGCCGTGTGTAACCATCAGGACTAGGGAACCAACACGGCCAACTAGGGTGCTGGCCACACCACCGAACCATGCGAGGCGCCGCTAACAGCAATTGGCTTGTAGGCCACTGTGGATTACAAGGCTAAACAAATGGCTCTGTCTTTCGCTGTCCATATGCTATTGGTGTAGTTTGTTGTCCTTCCCCTGTACCTCCGATTTGCACAGTTGACTAGGTATGATGTAAAAGAAGTTCAACATACATAGGTATAAACATACCAGCCCCACTCAATCACACCTTTAACCGTTCATCATGACTATCGCCGTAATAATTTAAGACTTCCGTTGTCATTTCCTGTCGGGAAGTCCAACCGAAACATTGCAATCACCCTTACGTACAATGCACAGAGACACACAAATGATGCAAGGACGCCGTGAGGCAGACACAGAGACACAGGGGACAAGCTGGAGACACAAAGACACACTGGGACAGACAAACGTGAGACGCAGGCACAGATGGGAGAGATCTGGAGACACTGGAGACCCTGGCGATGCCGACCTTGTCCGGGCTGTGGCATCGACTTGGTGTCACCGAGCAATGGCCCAGTCATTCCTGGAGGCCCCTTGGGGGCGGGGGTTGCCGACGGGGCGGTGGGCACCGAGGGGCCCACGGGGTAGGGCTCCTGGTACGGTGGGGGCGGCTCCGACGCCATGGTCTCCTCTTGGGGTCTGCTCGCTCACAGCGCAGAAACACGCAGCAGAAGCAGCAGCGGCGTCGTCAACTCCCTACAGCTGGGTCCACACTTCAGCGATTTGGCTACGCGACTTGATTGCACGCAACTGAACCGCTTCACACATGGACGTCTCTGCAACGAGTTGCGAGCAGTTGTTCACATCCGGTTTCTGCTTACGGTAAGGTTGTGAATCCTCGACTCTCAAGCGGCGATCCGCTCAGAGATTCGTAGCGGCACGGTCCATGCCCGCTGCATGCTGCATACGCACAGCTGCGATCGGACATATTACAATCCCGCCTGGATTACACGCCATGCCATCTCCTCATCCCGCACCTGCTTGCTTAAATGTTGACAAAGTAGTCGCGGCGATATTGAGTCACGCGACTAAGGCCCGGCTTGCCTAACGCGCTCGTTCTTGCCTAGCCATCTCTCAGCTACAGACCAGTTTCGATACAGAATCTCCATTTTAGAATCTCACCCAGATCCGGAAGAATGCTGGTGAACAGTGGAATAACGTGGACGTGCAGAATAAATACCTCAATCGATCCCCAAAACATCGCACCTGCTGGCTTTGGACATTCCTCGAAGACACTGGTGAAGCTATCAACCAAATGTAGCCCTATATGTACCATATAGATACACAGAGATACGCAGAGACTCATAGAGATACATTATACACCCACGACAATGCATAGGATACCCATAGAGACATAGATACTCATAGAGAAACATTTAAGACACGCCACCGTGTGATTGTGGCGATGCAACACAAACTATGAACCATATAGTAAACACATACAGACACACAGGTATAGGAAGAGGCTCAGAGAAAATTAGAGACCCATGAAAATATATAGAGACCCACAGAGACACAGGTATCAATCGAGACTCATAAAGACAAGCCACAGTATGATCATAATCATGCCACCCAAACTATGGACCATATAGTCAACCAATGTAGTCTACAATCCATCCACAGAGGAGTAATAGTAAAAATTACACAAACTCTCGCCTGAAGTCTTCTTGTCGTTGCTAGCAGACCTCGAAATTTAGATCCTGAACATTATATATATATATTTTTTATTTCACCAGATAAGGCCCACTGAGCTCGACGCTCAGCGCCACGTCATCGCCCCCATCAACGTTCAGCTTTGCGCCTGCCGCCCCCCCCGCCCCCCCAAACTGCACGGCTTGTTTCGTAAAGGGGAATTTTTCAAACGAACTCGTTTCACTCATCGGTTGAATGAAGGCAGCTCCTGAGTGAACAGTGCAAATGCTGTGAGTATGCGTGCGATGCGGACAGTGATTACTGCACACAACTAAAACTCACCGCAACTAAATTGGGGACCGTGCTTCGTTTGGCCAAAATCCAGCTTCTGAGAATGAAAACATCGGTTTGACTGCCACGCCATGAACATTCAACAGTGGGTGGGAAAGTGCTGCCATCTACTGTGTGTGTACACCTCAGGGTTCACTTGAAGGGATCATGAGAGGTAGCTCTGTTGTATCCGCTCCCGCAGGCCATTGCACCTGAGCATATCACTAGCAACTGGGAAACTTGGGCATGGAGCATTCTGCTCCGCATACCCGGAGTCGCATGATGGCTCCAGGGGTGTGTCTTATCAGTTGGCGCAGCCCAATCTTCCAAATCCCTCCGTAAACACGATCATATTTTTCCCGACACTGTGTTTGGCACAGATTTATAACCGACGCCACGGTGGTGATATTTTTGTCCCGACACTGTTTGACCACCGTTCAATTCCGCGATTGACTAACAATAAATATTTCACCGATCGATGCCGATGGGCGGTAATGGTGATTGAAAGGGGGGGGGGGGGGCTGGGTAATGATGCAGCCTGAAACGTCGAACGACAAGCCGTTTTACGAGCGGCTGCGCAATGAGGGCAGCCCAAATTTCCTCGCCTGCAAAACCGTTGTTCGAGTACATTAGGGGTCCCCAACGGCAGCGTTGGCCCGTCATCAGCAAAACCGGTGCGGCACACAGTGGCTTCAGGGAAGAGAGGGGTGGTTGGTGGGGGGTGTGCAAGGGTCAGGCTTGCTAACACTGGCAAATCTGGGTGGCGCACCCGAGCACGTGAACATCCGCAAGGTGCGAAATCAAAGAGACGTCGCGCCCCGTAAAAAAAGCGAACGTCATTTTTTTTTTAAGTACCACGAGGGTGTCAATTTGTTCAACGGCGATCTGGAAACGTCCCCTTTCGTCAGATTTATATTTTTTTTTCGGCGAGAACGTGACCACGTCTCCAATTGCCATCGTCAAGCGGGGCGACTACTGCCGAGACGATGCGGGGGTGCGATGATGGATGTGTTTTGGCAGTTCCTCCAAAGAGATGTCAATGGGGCCCCCGTTCGTGGCATCAAGCCAGCTTCCAGAAAGTTCCACATTCTCTCGTGTGCCAATTATTTACCTTCTGATAAGTATGCCAATTATTTACCCAGGAATGCCTCACCGAGTCACAAGATGAGCATTTTAATACTTCTGGCATTTGGATTTTTCAAGTTCGAAGTATGAACTGATTTCCAGTAATTTTACAGCATCATTAGAATGCACAAGTCTCTTTTTTAAGCTGGTGGTGTGGGGGGGGGTCTTGCTACATTGGGATGGTCTGGCCAATTCGCCTGATGAGCGTTTAAGCTTCGCGTGGGAGCTAACAACACAAGAGGAGGTGACACTTCGACATCTCCTGGTCACACCAAAGACAAATATCCCCCGTATAACCTGTAACAGACTGTTGGGGCAAGTGCTGAAAGCGAGCACCTATGAAGGCCCGAATGACACACGAGGAGGTGGGTGTCCAACACCATGCCTGACCGCCTTTGTCTCGCTAGTGGCGATGTTTACACACTGCACCATACTCTTTGGTTCTTTCGGTAAAGTCACGTAGGTATCAAATAAAATAAATCACGTTTCGGGCGCAACAGAAGCATCCATCATCAGTTACTCATTTGAGGCCGAGTCGACCTAGGGGAGACCTAGGACCCATTCAGATAATTGTCACTGGCGTTGGCCATGAGCGGGAATCGAACTCAGGTCGCCGGGTTTGTAGCGCAGCGCGCTAACCGCTACACTACCGCTACACTACCGCTCCCCACTAGCCACAACTTGCAGCCACACACCGATGACGCCCGGCAAGCCCTGGTGGTCCATGTAAGAAACCAGTCTCCAATTCCACATTCATGTGGCAGGTGTTACCTTCATAGTAAAAAAAAAAACTAGCGTTAACTTCTCACAGAATAGGTGCTCATTTTTTGGATCGTGGAGAGACGATATACCGCGTTGACATAAGGAAAGGTTAATGTGAATGCCACTTACACACACGGCCGATAGCTTATCGAAGAGTCCCTTTTGGTGAGACGGGACAAAACTGGTTACCATTATATTTTTTTTCATAAAAATTCGATTATGGATACATTTCATTACCAAATTTTTCAAATGTCCTTCTTGGGCTGTTACAAAAACAATCCGCTGTCAGGAAGTGACCGGATGGCTCACGGCGGCTCTGAGACCGGCGACGCTCAGAGAGACCCTGGCTTCGAATCCAGTTGTCTCAGCCCGGTCGGTGGTCATCCAATGACAGCACCACAAATACGCCACCACATTCAATTTAGTTCTGCATCTCCTAAATGTCACCTCTAAGAATTATATATATACTGCACATCAGTTGAACCCGCTTTGTGGTGAACGTTGACTCTCATACGCAGAGCGCCGCCCTCTGTTGCGTGCCTCAGAGGTAGCTCTGCGACATCATCTTCCGCGAGCCGTTCTCCAACGCAAAGAAGTCTTTGTTACTGCACGGAGGCGGCGAGAGTTCAGACGAGGATTCTTCATCCCGTGGCGTGACAAGAACGCTGGCTGCCCCGTGCTCTCGCACTGGCAGTCTGTACCTGGGCATATCTCACTGATGAGCCCTAATGCACACGAGCCCCGTTCAGTGGGGGGGGGGGGGGGGGGGCGCATTTCCGTATCAACACGGTAGATAAAGGCAGTAAAGCACGAGGGTGATGCAATGAAGGGAAGGTTTACACAGTGAAAGGGGCAGGCATATTCAGTGAAGGGCATGGCCATGATTTAAAAGGCATGGAGGTGCGTGCAGTCGAGGGTAAGTCCATGCAGTAAATATCACTTCTATGCAGTGAAGGGCAAGGCTGTATTAATGCAGTATTGGGTAATGCTACAGTAGAGGGCAATGCTTTGTCAATGCAGAACAGGGCAAGGCTGCATTACAGACAAGACTGTCTATGCAGTAAAGGGCTTTACAGTGTATATACAGTGAATGACTTTACTGTGTCTATGCAGTGGAGGGCATTACTATGTCTATTCAGTCCATGGCAAGGCTGTGTCCATGCATTGAAGGGCATTATTGTGTAAATGCAGCACAGGGCATTATTGTGTCTATGCAGTACTGGGCAAGGATGTGCAGCAAAAAGCAAGACTATATGCAGTGAAGAGCATTACTGTGTCAATGTAGTACAGGGCAAGGCTGTGTCCAATCAGTGAAGGGCATTAGTGTCAATGTTGTACAGGGCAAGGCTGTCTATGCAGTGAAGGGCATTACTGTGTTTTAACACAGTACAGGGCAAGGCTGTGTATATGCAGTGAAGGGCATTACTGTGTCAATGTTGTACAGGGCAAGGCTGTGTCTATGCAGTGAAGGGCATTATTGTGTCAATGTAGTACAGGCCAAGGCTGTGTATATGCAGTGAAGGGCATTACTGTGTCAATGTTGTACAGGGCAAGGCTGTGTATATGCAGTGAAGGTCATTATTGTGTCAATGTAGTACAGGGCAAGGCTGTGTATATGCAGTGAAGGGCATTACTGTGTCAATGTTGTACAGGGCAAGGCTGTCTATGCAGTGAAGGGCATTACTGTGTTTTAACGCAATACAGGGCAAGGCTGTGTATATGCAGTGAAGGGCATTACTGTGTCAATGTTGTACAGGGCAAGGCTGTCTTTGCAGTGAAGGGCATTACTGTGTTTTA